TGACACTTGTCTTGTCTCACAGAAACCAGATTTGTTTTTCTTCCCGTGGTTCCTGTTTTATCTTCAAATTCCTTTCGGATGAATAAAACTCCAGTGAATCTTTTGGTCTGCTCATTAGGCAGCCAAACCATGGCAATCAGCACATGGAGACTGAGTCCTGTGCAACTTACCCTTTCTTGTCATTGCATTTACACTTTGTAGTTTAAAGCTCTTATCAAATTATCTGCCACACAAATCCCAAGATCTGACATCCTGACATCTCTTTCAGATGTGATAGAAAAGACAAAAAACAAATAGGAGTTAAACATTAGATGCAAATTAGGAGTCAAACAGCTGCAATCCAGGACCTGTGTAAACAGACTTGGAGCTTCATAGGTTTTAAGACTAGAAAGGACCTTTTGATTAGAGCCTCCTGTCTGACCTGTATATCACTGGCCATTAAATGGCATCTGGTTCCCCCTGTATTGAGCCAAATAACTTGTGTGTGTCTAAAGCATCTTCCCTTAGGGCCTCCAGTCTGGATTGGAAGACATCAAGTGATGGAGACTTCCTTTGGGTATTTGTTCCAGTGGTTGATCACCCTCACTGGTAAACATTGATGCCTAATTTTTCATTTGACTGTCTGGCTTCAGCTTCCAGCCACTGGTTCTTGTTCTTCCTTTCTCTGCTAGATTAAAAAGCCCTTTAGTACCAGATATTTTCTCCCCAGGAAGGTACTTTTACTGTAAACAAGTCACCTCTCGTCTGCCCTCCCGTACAGCGCAGGCCGGAGAATCCAACACATAGGGACAATGGCCATTGGCTCACCGCCCCTGGAGGAGGTAGTGCCAGCTAGCCATGGTCTCATCACAGCTGAAAATACAGCAGGAATGCTCTCCCATCACCTTCAGGGCTCTGAGCAGAAATGTCCCAAGTCAGCTCTGCCTATGGATGGATTTCCTGTCTCTGTGTGGGGGCCCTGGAGAGCCATAAAATGAACCGGCAGGGTCTGAGTTTGGTGGTGACCAGGACACTCAAGATAGAAACTTTAACACCAATTCAATGTCTTGATAACAGGCCAAATGCTCAGCTGGTGTAAATTAGTGCAACTCCATTGCCTTCAATGGAGCTACGGTGATTTACATTATCTGGGGATCTGGCCCCATTGATTCCTATGGAGCTATGACCTATTCACACCAGCTGGGGATCTGACCCCATTGGTTTCAGTGAAGCAATGGCTATTTAAGCTAGCTGGGAATCTGGTCCATTGCCTTCAGTAGAATGATACCAATTGACACCATTTAGGAGGCTGACCCTTCACAGCTATTCACTCTCTCTGACATACCTTCAACCAAAGTGAATTCAACATGTTAAAAACACCATGCAGCATTGCATCTGCAGCCAAAGGAGTCTTTTGTTTTACTATTGTCTACTGTCAGAAAAAAAAGAAAAAAATTGCAGAGAAAGGAAGGAAGAAAGGAAGAAAGAAAAGTTATAACATAAGAACATAAGAATGGCCGTACCGGGTCAGACCAAAGGTCCATCTAGCCCAGTGTCCTGTCTACCGACAGTGGCCAATGCCAGGTGCCC